TTTTTTTTTTTTTTTTTTTTTTTGTTGAGAAGCCAGTTTATTTGTAAACATAGAGAGGAAGAAAGAGGGGTAAAAGTATGTCAAGAAGTCCTAAACATTTGAAAATCCTCACACCTTCAATAGTGAGGAAATCGAAAAGTTGATACATCAAATAACTTCTCCAAAGAATATGCTGAACAACAAAACTTATGTGAAACTGTGAATGGGATCATTAGGGCCTGGTATTTGGCTGAGAACACGATCAAGCTTTTGCAACGGTATAGCTAAGTGGATTTCCACCCAGCATGGTGTTGATGTTATTGTTTGCCGTTTATACTGCTCACCCCATCCTTTGACAAAGCTTATTCGCATATGGCACATCCTCTGAAACCAAAATTCCTGATAAGTGGAGACCTTACTTTTCTCATAAAATGATAAAGGAAATATGTCTCGACATTCCCAGCCCCAAATTAAACCTGAAGATTATAATTGCTCAATGATAAATTGCTCTTTACAAACTTTATCTAAAAAGAGTTGTGGAACAAGGGTACGGGCAGAACCTGAAGGGAATAGACTGCATGGAAACCCTGGCTAGTTGATTGGGTTAATAATCTCTCGAACGATTCATTGTCGAAAATTTGCATAACATGCCCTGTAAAGGATTATTACATGAGCAATCTCCGATAACAACTAAAATTTATCCAAATCTGACTAATGCTACTAAAATTTGACTGAAGATAATAAATATTCAATGATGTTAAAAATGGGATGATTTCAAGTACATAGAGTATGGTCTGACATAAATCAGAAACATGAAATTAAACATAATCCTGTGAAGGCTATTTTTATCTAAATGGACCTTTCTTATCACTCATCACAGAGTACTCTAGTTTTCTCATTTGCATACTCAGAAAAAAAACTTTATCAGCTGCCTGTACCAAAGATTAAAAATAAAACTAACCTGATGGTAGCCTATAAACAGTAGCTGGATGGTCATGAGATTTTATAGCGTGTATGGGACTTTGGATAAATACTGGTGCTTCACTCAAACATTCCGCATAAACATCTTCATTCTGACGAAAAATCCGAACTCCTCGCCCTAAAACTATAAATAGTAGTTTATCATACTTATTTAAAATACGCATCAACTTCTGTTGGACCTTCCATCACCTCCAAAAATAATCTATTTCCCAAAAAATAAATGTGGAATACGTACCGATTTGACGTCTAGCATTTACAACACCAGGATTTCTATTCACATTTGCCAAAGCTCCGAGACAAAATCTTTCTGCTTCAGAAGGCGCACAAAAGCCATCAACTATGACATGAGAAGTGCCACCTTTGAAAGGTTCACCAATCTAAGTTCACTCCCTCTTAATATTGTACTGTAAAGCTGAGATGTGATCTGTGCGAGTTTTTTAGTTACAAGATTGGAGTTCGAATCAAAAAGTTTAACTTTATTACAATAATATATAATACTGCAAAACAAACTCGTTGATTAAGCTCGTAGTAGTATGCATGGCACCATGCTTCAGGCAGTGGTGCTGGAGGTGGACAATCCTTCATATTGAATGCAACATCCGATGGCTGGAATTTCTCGACTTTACAATATTTGCGACTTATTGTATTGAGTTTTAGGCTTAAAAATTACAGTGACTGAGCTATGTACAATGAATCAAGAAAAAATATAAAAATCTACCTTGGGTCGGATATGAGGTTGAACTCGCAATCGCTGACTCTTCATGTAAAGTACCTGTGCAAGCGTATTCTGACTTTGATTTGAAGCATCTGTGTGAGATGCCACTAAATAATTACTAGCTTATTGAATATATAAGCTACAGTTGATGAATGAATATACTTCTAATTTACTGATACAGCACATAAAATTACAGATATTCGAGAAAAAAGAAAGATACTAGTTTAAATCTTACTAAGATTTAAAAGGTAGTATAGTTTTGAATGATGTGAACAACCACAGCTTCTCAATTCAAACAACATACTTTCATTTACTGCATTAATTTGCTGGTTAGTATATGAATAACCATTTTCCTGTGTCGGTAATAAATGTGTGAACGAAGGAGCACAGGTTGAAAAGTCTTGTCGAACAAGACCTTCATGTTGTTGTTGCATCTGGTACAAAAATGAAGTTCACAAATAATAAAATTTTATGTAATAAAGTAGGAAATAGCCAAATACTCACGTTTTGCTGTAATGGAATAACTAAATCTTCAGTTTTCTGACTGCAAGGTGGATTAGAAACAACACTAGCTGCGCAACACAAAAGTCCACTATCTTTGGTGCCGAAATATCGTGAGAACAAAGAAGCATTTCCAGTTTCGAACTGAGTACAAGAGGTTGTCTGCTGATCTATAAGAGACCTTAACAGACATACAAGATGAATTGTAGTTGAAGTTTAGAAAATACAAATGAGCAACAGAACAATAAAGTTGATGAAATTAGCCACAGTTGAAATTATTATATGACAAGAAAGCCAACCAGTCTGCTCCTGATAATCCATCAGATCGGAAGTAGATTGTTCGTCATAACTTTCTACTTTTACTGTACGATGCAAATGCCATGACTGTTGATTTTGACAAGTATTGTTTGGGTAACAACTGGATGGAGATGAAGGTGTGGTGCACATTTTTTGGTGCAGATACGATTTGCTTTCGTTCTTGCGACGAGTAAGTAAGTCCATTTAAAATATTAGTGTGCAATTACTCGAACAATCATTTACGTTCGTCTCACTTTACATATGAAAAATTAAAGTATTTATTTTCCAGCAAATGAAATTGAAGAAAAATCATACGACAATCTGCCGTTACAGAACCATTTTAACTACATATATAATGTTAATCATATGTCACTATCTTACTATCCCATTTATAATGACATATGGTTAATATTGTTTACGACGATAATAAGAAGAAAGAATTTCTTTCTTTAATAATACAGCACGGATGATAATAATACTAACAAAGCGAGAGCAATCATAATTGTGTAAAGATTCTAATCAAACATGTACATTATTCCATAAGTCTACTACTCATAGCTGCAAACGAATTGCATATAAATTAGTTGTCTTATATGTGTGCGGGGGAAATATTGCCGCGTTGTTACACAAAACTACCAAGAGAAAATTGTAAACAGAAAATTAAATAAATAGTTTGCAATTGAATGGAATCAAGCTTAAATAAAGAAAGCAAACTAAATGAGTCAAGTTATTTGCAGCGATACATTTGAATCACCACGCCATTAACGTGAACTATCTTCATCCTTTAGCCAATGATCAGCAGTTCTAGAATCCTACTTAATTTCTTCCAGTTCCTGCTAGAAAAGAAATTAGTAAAGAGATGCAACAGAGGAATTCTGAGATAAACAAAAATAAGAAAAATAGATATATACTAAGTATTGAAATAAACAAACAAATAAAAATAAAATAATAGTAAAGAAATAGATACACATTTCGCAGCAGACAACACTACTGAGAGGGAAACAATTATGGAAGGGAAAGCAAGAAGAGAGGAGTGAAGGAGCAAGAAGCTTGGAGCAAGGGGCAATGCAAATGAAATGAGCGAAATAAAAAGCCAACACCGCACTGAGAACAGTATTGAAAGCAGGCGTATGTACTGGGGATCGCATGCAAATTATAAGCAGCAATACTGCTGGCTGCATAAGGCCTGTCTCGGAAATGTTACTGACAATCTCAAAGTGCTAAGTCGGCACTGACAGATGCGATTCCTGTAATCGTTGCTGTGCTACAGAAGCTTATCACTGCAGTAGTCTGTCTTCTTTCCTTCCTTTCCTTACACAGCTCCATCCTCAAAAACGGTCTTCAAATGTCTATCCTATCTGCAACACCAACATCACGGGCACTCATTTCAATCATTCACACATTGAAAATTCCATCTAAGAATACAAGTACCCACCTTCTCATGAATGCATGCATGAATGTAATAAAAAAATATTACAGTCATGTGGAATGAATTTACTAGATATGGCAACATACGTTCCTCACCAAATATATAAATATATCAGGATGAAGTCTATTCTCCAATGCATTCATTTCAATGATGACATTGAAACTTAGTTAAACTGTTTCTAAAAGTCCATTTACAGTTGCTTCTATTCTTCAACTTGAATTTAATTTAAATCTACTTGCTAAACAAATACACTCTCATTTAACGATGCAGACGTCTCATCACTTCTCTTCATATTTTGCAAACATATTGTTCACAAACAAATGAATGCAATTTAACTGCTTTCTTCCAGCTTACAACCATACGCTGTTCAATTAAACGAATGCAGCAGAACCGAAATATATATTTCAAATTAGCTTCGTGAAAGCCAGAAACAACTAAAAATGATCCTGCAATTTTTGAAAAAAATGAATGAAATGTAAAGCTGCAGAGAATATTAAAATTACAGCAAAGTTTACAGTTATCCTCCAACACACAAATACACTTTACACATGCATACATAACACCAATCAGTACTATCATTAGTAGCGAAAAAAATCCTGTCTTCGTATATCATTTGCACATAGCACAACTCAGCTCTTCATACACATGTTACCGATATATTTTTCTTTAAGCAAAATGCAATCGACAAATAAATTGTTCTTATGAAGGATACTTCAAGATTTACAATTATACACTAAGAAATAACAAGGGATCAGAAGAATGGGTATTCCATTCAAAATGTACAAAGAAATCTAGTCGCCTACGATACCAATTACAGGAGTTATCTCAGAAATTTGAAATTATTAGAATTTGAACCTAACATTCATACAATCTAAATTATACAACATGAATATGAGTCACTTAATCACAACCGTTTCACACATAATTTTTTAACTTCTTATCCTTACTCAGTAAATCATAAAACTTGCATGTTAAACCGTATGTTAAGATGTACCCCTCCAATGGAAATTTATTTTATGATAATGTTATCACAATAAATGATAGTAAGAGGAATAATTAAGTAGCTAATTTAATATTAAATCACATTCATTTCGATTGATGAAGCAAAAAGAAAATATAATGCTAGAGGTGAATGAAATTACGGTAAAAGATAACTTGTCGTTGGTACAAATATTACGGTGAGATTGTCAACATATTAAAATACAATTTGAAATTTCGCTAGATTCAAAATCATACAGAAATAAGACAATCAGACCATGTCCAAACCCAAAATATTAAAATGAAAAATAATTTCAGAATATAAAATTAAATGATATCAAAAACGTCATATACTAGTATAATGAAACAACTGCGATACCAACAATTCAGAGAAATAAACATAAATTAAGAATAAGATGAGGACTAAGGCCTTTAAAATTATCATTCACATCAGCATATGCCATTTTTTAACGTAAAACTTATGAAATAAAGAGAAAAAGCAGCTAATTACGTCACTCAATTTCCCTACAATCTTAAATTCCTTAAAATAGTGAAATATTTTTGGACAGATATTAGTAAATAATAACGAAAAGATAATAAATTCATATTTGGTAGAAATTTTAAAATTAACATTTGCGGCTATGCAATTCCCAACTTCACTTTGTAATACTTCACTAGAAAAGGAAAAAGAATGGTGAAGACTGAACTTACCGATCATGATAAGACTTTAACTTTAATTGAAGAAAACGAGTAGCAAATCCAACGTATCACTGCTTAACACCACTTCGTCTCCTGAAATACAGGATTATAAAAAAATGTGAGAACATCAATTAACTAGGTATACATACATATCAACTAGTTCCATATAAATATTCGGTACCGGAGAAAATAAGAGTTTTTTTCCTTTCAAAAACATCAATCTGTTTTAATGTTTAGAAATGCTACCAAAGGCAGCGAGTGATACACAGTGAACTAAATTAAAAAACAGATAAGTGAAGATACTGTTGCTATACACTACATCTATATAAGACGCAACAATTATCTCATTTTCATGCCAGTACATTGTTAAATGTACAGAATTGACCTACGTATTCTTATTAAGTTAACGAGAAAGTTCATAAAATAAATTTAATCATACCGTACAAGACTAATTAGTAATCAAAGACTAAAACAATCACTTCCTTCTTACTGGTGATGTCTTGATAAAAAAGCAAAATCAACGAAATGATTATCACTCAAATCACTTTAGTGAATAGTTTATGTATTAAATTGAAATGAGCAAAATAGCAGAGCTATTTTCTTACACCCATCATCACGAGTAAACTTAATGACTGTTAATATCAAATAAAGCATTCAAAAAAGACAGCAACTCCTTTTCTTGAAAAGTAAGGCCTAATCGTAGTTAACATCTCTGAAGTGATGTAAATTATGCTTACAACGCGTTTGTAACGTGAAATTCCAGTTGAGCATACACCATGTAGATGCGCAAATACCAAAAACCTGATACATAAATGAGCAAGTCATGAATGAATGGAGGTAGAAGAAAGAAATGCAGTAATTCTATAGCGTCAAATAAGAAATAAGGATACAAAAGTTTGTGTATTAATAATTTTGACGTTAACACGGTAATGGCGATAAGACACTGAAAACAAAGACAGCTTAAACTTAATGAATATAAATTTTCGTATGTATTCACACAACACCTAATCTTATAAACTTTTACGTATACGTTTACGTTTACATCACGATCACAA